TGCCATAGATAAGCCAATAGCAACTTTTTTCACTGATTGGGCCACAGTATAACAAGTGAGTGGGAGTTTCAGTCCCAATCAGACGGGAGTGTCCTTCTTGCATCTGAAGTCTTACCTCCTGGATAATGTTGGAACTCTAAGACAGACTCATTTCCAAAAGATGGGGAGGTTGTTTCTGCATCTACATTGAGTGACAAGGACAGAGAGTAAAAAATAGGTAAGAATGAACAACAGGAGTAACATTACTTTTATATTCTTGCTCTACAAGCAAAGACAGGGCTTAGCACACCTGTTTCCCATTAATCACACATTAGGATGAAGGATACTTTATGCCTGCTGGGAATAATTCCTACCATAGTTCTCACTCTCCTCTATCAATTCCCTCAGCAGCCCCCTGGCTAAGGAATATGCTGAATTTCCTTTTCAAACATGACTGTGTACTAACAATGCACATTTCTATCATACGTTTGGAAACTCCTATGTATAACCTTTCTCCTTTAGACTTCACATAACACTTTATTTGGACCTCTATATGCAGTCATGATAACAGCTAACATTTATATGGTATTTTAAGTTTTATAATTTATATGTATATGATGGAATCATATATATTATATATAATGGGAGGATGATATATATATATATATGTATGTATGTATGTATGTATGTATGTATATTTCATCCCATTTGATCCCTGAAATAGGGTTTATTATTATTGAAATTTTACAGATAAGGATGCTGAGGCAGAAGGAAGTTAAGTGATTTGCTTGGGGTCACACACCTAGTGAGTGAGACAGTTAGGATTCCAAGGCAGGCCGAAGTACAACACTATCTACCTTACCACCAAACTGCTTCATGTAATATCATAATTTCTATTCTATAGATTCAGAGCTGGAAGGACCATTAGGATCTCTACACAACTCCTTCATCTTACCCTATGGGAAACTGAGGCCCAGTGAGGTTAAATGATTTGCTCATGCCATATGGCCAACTTGGAGCAGTGCCACTATTTAAAGTCAGGTCTTCTGACTCTAAATTCAGGACTCCATTAATGACATTTTGTTCCCTAGTGCTATATTCCCTTACTAGAATAAGTCCCTGAGGCTTGCTCTCTTACCTAAAGGTTTTTGCCAGTTACCTAGTATAGTGCTAGGCTTATGGCAGTCCCTTTATAAAAGGATTGCTAGAGTCAATTCAAAACATTTTTGTTGTTGTTGAAAAAATATTTTGGCTAGGCAATGGGGTTAAACGACTTGCCCAGGGTCACAAAGCTAGTAAGTGTCATGTGTCTGAGGCTGGATTTGAACTCAGGTTCTCCTAGTGCTCTATCCACTGCACCACCGAGCTGCCCCTTGAAGCATTTTTACATAGAGCACTAGCAGCAGCACCTAACACTTATGTAGCAATTTAAGACTTGAAAAGTACTTGATATCTCATTGGATCCTCACAACAGCCTTGGGAGGCAGATGCTGTTACCATCCCCATTTTACAGATGAGGAAGCTGAAGGCATATGATGCCCAACGTCATAGACACAGACAGTGTCTGAAACAGGATTTGAAACGTATGCTATCTATTCTTTCTAACTTCCTATTCTTTCTTAGTCCGGGGTCACCTAGCCATCGGAAACATATCATTTGATTTGCTTACTTCCCTATGAGACAACCATTGCCTCCATTTTGCTCATAAAAACTGGGAATTAGATGGGTTAATAATTTGCTCAAGGTTACAGAGAAAGTTGCAATTCTTAAAAGCCTTTAGCTTTTCCCATCATATACACAATTGACTGAGCTCAGAGTTATTAGATAAAGACCTTTGAGAAAGTAGCAAAGTGGACAGTGAAGGCAACTGGAACTTCAGGCAAGGACAGAAAATCAAGGCTCCTCGTGGCCCATCCAAGCCACTGAAAAATGAAAACCAGGAGTCAAGGTCTCAAAGCTACGGAGAGTTCTGATAGGATGGCCCTACAAGGCCCATTCATTGTTTACTTTATCTCCAAAGATATTAGGTACAAAGTATTACTTTGTCAGATTCACAGAGTTGGAAGGGCCCTTTAGGGGCCATTCAGTCCAATCCATGCCTGAACAAGAATATGACAGCATACCAGATAACTAGCTCTCAGGCAGCCCCCTCCACTTTTAGAGAGCTCTAATCATTATGACATTTTTCCTTACATCAAGGCCAAATTTATCGCTTTGAAACATCTACTTAACTGCTCATGTTTCCTCCAAGTCTCCTCTTTTGGCTAAACATACCCAGTTCTTTCAACTGATTCTTCTCATTATGGGATGATTTCAATGATCTTCCCCAGCCTGGTCATGATTGTCTAACTAATATTCGACTTGTCAATATCTTTCCCTAGACAGTGTCATCCAAAATGGAGCCAGATACCTCAAATGTGGTCTGAATAGTACAGAGGAGAGGGGCACTGTTGCTTCCCTAGTTTTGGATACCATGGCCCTCAACACAGCCTAAAATCTACCAAAGGTTCTTGGGGAGAGGAAGGAGAATGGAGGGGGATGAATGCCTTATCTCATTCTTATATTGAGCTTTTAGCTCACTGAAACCCCAGATCTATTTCAGATAGACTCCTGTCTAGTCATATCTCCTATCTTGTACTTAAAATCCCTTCTAACCTTTTTTTTTTCCTTTTCTTCCTAGATCAGGGATTCTTAACTTTTCTTGTATCAAGCACCTCTTCTCAGAATAATGCTTTTAAATGCATAAAATACATAAGATTACAAAGCAAACCAATTACTTTCTAATTGAAATTAGAGTTCTAATTTCTAATAGAAATTACTTTCTAACTGAAATGGTTTCACAGACCTCTGCCTCTAGACCATCAGTATGCTGGTAAATGTTTAAGAACCAGTTCTCCACAAAATAAAGGAAGAAAGAAAGAGAAATAAGAAAGAAGCACAACACAAGGTTGAATCTGTATTATTAACATCTTCTCCATTGCTTTCAAATGTCTAGACAATGAACAATAAATCAAGCCATGATTTGTAATGTTTTCCGATTTTGGAGGTGCAAATCCTCAACCTGAACATTTAATAATGGCATCTTCCAACTGGCTCCAATACACTCTGGTGACCCACCTAATGTAATCATTGATTTCTCCCCCTGCCACTCAAATATCCAATTGGATTTTAATTAGGTTTACTGTAAGAGGATGGCTAGCATGGCTAGGTGGATGAAGTGCTCAACTTGGAGACTAGAAGAGCTAGGTTCAAATTCTGCCTCTGACCCTTAATAGCTGTGTAATCAAGGTCAAGTCAATTAACTTCTCTGAACCTCAGGCAACTTCTTCAAGTTGATCTAATTTATTTGTTTGGATTTGCAGCTGTTAGAGGAAGTGAGCTTCCCAGGCCAATGAAATCACAGGCCCTTGACCTATTTCCTTAATTTACTATAGAAAAAAAAATGAAAGCTTTCAGAGCTATAGGCTCCAGCTCAGAACCACTGCCCAATGGGATCCCTAAGAGCATGACAATTTCTAGAGAGAAACCTATTATATTCCCACTCTGTCAAAGGTATGGTGCAATCCCAGCACTTGATCTCTGCTAAAACTACCACTGTCTGAGGGGAAGTATGAAAAAGTAATAAATATAATTAAACCTGGACTAGGTAGGAGGGAGGGGAGAAATAGGCTAACATTACCACAACTGCTAGTCATTAACCCTGCCCAGGAAGAATGTGGGAGTATGGGAAGGGTGGTGGTGGTGGTGGTGGTGGTGGTGGTGGTGGTAGAGGTTTTTGGCACAGCCCTACTATTAATCACATCAGAAGTGGGGAGAAACTTTCATTAATTGGGTATAACTGGTCCCAGCCTGCTGAGCTATATAGCAGGGTTGTGCATATACAAAATCCCATAAATAGTCTCTCATCAGAACAGCTGCTCTTTAGCCAAAGGTTGTCATGGTTCCCAGGCCAGCCAGGCCATGAATAGTCATTACTTATTTAAAAAGTTATGGAGTTCCTGTAATTCAGTTCTCTTGCTATGTGAGGTGTGGGAAAATAACACCCACATAGCAAGCCCAACTGGTATAGGATAACCATATTGTTTCTAAGAGTAATCAAGGAGGCTTACCAAGTTCTCTTTCTCATTTGCTAATCAGAGAAAGGCAAAGTCCTTCTCCTCCCCCACATTCATAAGGTTCAGTTTAAAAATGAAGCGTCCAAAGTAAGTTATCTGGTGTCCCACCATTCTCTTCCTGTTCTTAATCCATTCCCTACAAAGAATGGGTTTATGGGAGAAGAGTCTAATTTTAGACAGTCAGGATGTTAAATCCAGTACTTTTTTAAAGAGCATTATTGCTTAGAAGATAAATACAAAAGCATGAGATCAGGTCCTATGTCTGTGGTACAATCTGAGAAACTGTCCCTTTAAAACTCTCTCCCACTACAATAGTTAAAATCCAGTTATAGATATCAGGGGTGTGTTGGTAAATGTTTAACATCTGACTCTCTGCCAAAAAAAAAAAGTACTCAGAGCACACTTTTCAGTTTAATATGAATTACTGAAAATTTATCCATCACTTTCCTAAGTCAAGACAATTAATAAAACATTAACTCAAGCCCTGAATGTAGCATTTGTTGATGTCAGAGGCATAAACGCTCACACCGAAAATTTAATAATTGGCTCTCTAGCTAGGTAGCCCAATGGATAGAGCACTTGACCTAGAGTCTGGAAGACATCTCCCTGAGTTCAAATCTGGCTGTGTGACCCTGGGCAAGTCGCCTAACCCTGTTTGCCTCAGTTTCCTCATGTGTCAAATGAGCTGGAGAAGGAAATTGCAAATCACTCTAACATCTTTGCCAAGAAAACCCCAAATGAGATCATAAAAAGTCAGACATGACTGAAAATGACTCAGTAACAACAGCCAGTAGCAGCTAGGTGGTGCAGTGGATAGAACATTGGCCTGGAGTCAGGAAGACCCAAGTTCAAATCCAGGCTCAGATACTTACCAGCTGTGTGACCTTGGGCAAGTCACTTAACCTCTATTTGCCTCAGCTTGCCATCTGTAAAATGGGGACACACTAGAAGAGGAAATGGCAAACCACTCCAGTATCTTTTCCAAGAAAACAAAAGTCCACAGAGTCACATAGAGTTGGACGACACTGGACAACAATAAGAATGACAAGCCCAGTATGAGCTAACTCCAGAGCACCCCTGGGGATACGCTGAACATCTTGGTTCTACAAAAACACGATATCAGGTGGAACTGATTTAGGGGGAAACTAGTCTCATGGGAAAAGAAGTAAGCTGGAGGCAAGCATGTCTTGGGAGTTAGATGGAAGATGAAAGCAGGCTGAGCCAAGTTGAGCTTATCTCAGGCCACCAGACTGATAGTAGGGGATCGAACTCTGTGGTGGAGTTTGATTATAAATGTCTTAACGTCATAAAAGTTGTAAAAACAACATTGATCAGGGCAAAGTTGTCCAGATATGGCTGGGCTCCATTGGACTATGGCTTCTATCCAGAAGGTACCTGTTAAAACATAAGTTTTCCCTGAGGGTGGGGAGGGGTAGCAGAGTAACAAAGTGCCAAAACCACTTACTTTTATTTTATCAGTTTATCTGGAAAGCAGAGAAGGGACCCGAAGGGAAAGAGTGCAGAAAATAGATAAATGTTGATGAAGGAAGGACCAGGAGGCAAAAAGCATCACTTGATGTATTATAGGATCACTGTATGTAGAACAGGTGAGGAGATTTCTAAAAGGAAGACAACCCCCAAGACATATTGTAAAGCGAGTTCTGCCTGTGGTTGGGCCTGAACGTCCTGAAGATGGAAGGATGATGCAAACAAACTACTAGGTTTAAAGGTTCTATAGACACTTACCTATACCTCCAAGAATGTGTGTTCTCAGTAATTGATTGTCCCACCTCTCTGTCCCCCCGAATAAAAATAAGTTAACACATAGTATATTCACCCTACCAGAATATCCTGGGGTTAAAACCAAGACTCCATCAGCAGTCATGTTCTTCCACACTTGACCAGGGATCAAAGATACCATGGCCTTGGACTTCCAATCATCCTTGGTTTTGAGGTTAAGCATTGGCTCACTCGAATGGGCAGCACCAGTGCTCGGATGGACATCATCTGTGACTTCTCTGAGGAAGCTCTGGGCAGTACCAGGGGTCTTCAAGGAAGGGGAGAGCTCAGTCAGGCTGCCAGGAGATAAAGAATCCCACACAAATCCATTGGAGGTTGTCACTTCTCTAGGGCTTCCCAGATCTAGATGCTCCTCATTGAGAGGTCTGATATTTCCCAAAGTGCTGGACTGAGCTGGATCCAAGCTGACTCCCCTGCTTGCCTCATCCCTTGTTGGGAAGGTTTCTCCACCTCTCTCTTTGCATTCTGGTGCTACCTGTTCATTATTGAACAGGAGATTTAAGAATAGTTCTTCTTTAGGGATATTTGAAGGACTGGTGACAGACTCATAAACTCCAGGACTTGTTTCTAGAAAATTCTTTCCTTTAACCAGCATCACATGGCTGAAACTCTGGTAGAGATGATCATGATTACGCACAGCATCCTGGAATTTCCTTATACTCTGAGCAGTCAAGGATGAATAAAAGTGGGAAGGTTTAGTAATAACAAGGTCCCCTTGCCATGTGAGCTTTTGTTTTTTAGCTGTGATCCAAGGAAGCCTCTTTTCTGGAATACTGGCAGAGGGAAGAAGCCTGTCAGAAACGCCTATAGGTTTCGGAAGTAGCTCTGTCAAGGGGAAAGTCTTAGAAAGCCAACGAGGGTGAATAATCAATGAGTCCACAGGCAAGCTATCTTGGGAAGCTTTATTTTCTGGTATGTACCCACAGGAAGTAACTGGGATTGATGACATCCTAAATGATACCACAGAGTCCCTTCCAGCTGAACTTTTTATAGTCTCTGTTGGCCTGCTGAGCTCCTGCCTAAGCAAAATAGGTGTCAAGTGTCTGTTCCTTATCAATGGCCCTTTGGCAGGAATCAGAGGAAGAAGGCTATGCAGATGCTTCCATTCAAGAACCTTTCTTTCTCCCTCCATTAGCCCCTCATTCTTTGGCATCAGTATCTCAGTCACAATTTGGCTTTTGCTCCCCAGACTCATGTAGATGGTGTTCATGTTTGGAAAGCTCCCAGGCTTTGGTTTTGTCACTAGCTGAGGATGAGAACCCACACTACTTAGAGTCCTCTCTCTGAGTCTCTGGGAAGTTGCTAAGGAAGAACCAATGGCAGGTTTAGGAGGGACTTGTCTCTCCGGGTCTGTGAAGATAAAATACTGGCCTTCAAAATGTGGGATGTGTCTAGGATAAGACTTCACAGAGAGAAACACTATATGGACAGCCAGGGCTTGAGTAGCAAAAATCAAAGTGCCTTGCCTTCTACATGCATAGAAGGTTTTCCTTTCCACACTTGATGAGACCCCTTGAAAAATGATTTTGTCCTGGTTTTGGTCACAGTTCTCAGGCCCCTCAAATCCTTTGATGTAAACAACAATGTGTTTCTTGGACCCTGCCCAGATAGTCCAGTTACAACAGATGTTTGGCCAATAACTGTCTAGGTTCTTTGGCAATGAAAAAGTTCCAAAGGTATCTTTCAAAACCACATGGCACCTTCTTATGAGGGTACAGGACACCATGCTGGTTGAGGTGAGCACCTCTGTTGGGGGTTGGGGGAGGGGGTAAGGTGAAAAACAAAAAGTTAAGTCAGTGAAGATATCTTAATATAATAAGACTTTAAAAGTTACATTTGGGTCTGTTAACTTGAAATGAGGGGATCTACATGACTTCTTACAGCAGACAGCTTTTGGTCTACCTTTGGAGCATCATGGCATAGTACTCCAATTGGGAGCCTTGGAGTCAAATTGGGACAATGAGATTCTCCTAAAACAAAATTCCTCCCCTGGCTCAGCATAATTTTCTGTCCTCCTTATTTCTATCTCTTCCAGTAAATACAAATTCTGTATTTCTCTTAACCACTCATGCCTCATTCCATTTGTTTCTAGGACTTACAACCTGGGCTCCACATTCTTAATGATCAACCTCATTCTCTTCCCACATGATTAGTATTGAGGAAAATTGGAAGTCTGTAAAGCACCATTGGGCTCAGTTCAAAATCTCTACCAAACATAAGTACCATCTGATACCAAAGACCACTGAGATTAGAGTTTTTTAATCTGTGTCTGTGTTCCATTTGTTAACACATTATAGCATAGGTACACCTCAGAATAACATTTTTAGCTAACTGAAGGAATGCTAAATTTTAATCAGAGGTCAGAAAAAACGAAGATGTAACTTTTTTCCTATACAAGTTTACAAGCTCTCTGAAATCTATCCATGAGCCAAAAGGTCCATAAAATCTAGGTGAAGAGCCTCTGATTTAGCTGGAAGGTTAAAGCAGAAATGCTAAGGAATATGGAAACCTGGTTTGTGTCTTTTCTCTTTACTATCTAGAGTCTTATACTAGGTGCTCAATTTGAACATTACAAGGGCTTAGCTGTCTTTAAAAAGGCTGTTTATTGAAACTCCTTCTGTAGGGTTAGAAGAATGACCAAGTTTAACTGGACACAAGACAAAAAGAAAATCAAAGGCTTACCAGAGGAGTCTTGAAGCTTTTTGGCCTCCAAAAGGTTTACGTCCTCATACCGGAGAGGCAGAGATGAGGAGACTGCAGAAAGGTCCCCAGTTTGGCCCTGCTTACCCAAGGACATTGTTGGAACACTAGGGAGCAAAGACGTAATGTCAAATTTGGTGCATTTCTGGTCCTTTCCAAGAGAGTTGGAGGATTTCCAAGAGTTGCTTTCATTCACCATAGCATCCTTCTTTGAGGGCTGACCATTCTGCATTTCATCAGGCTCCCAAGACAGAGTCATGGTCCTGCTAGGGGCCCGTTGCAGAGCTGACAGGGTAGTCATTTTATAAGTCTTAGTTACCATGGGAATCTCACTTTTTGAAGAAAGCTTGCCCTCAGGAACTAGTTGAGAGACACTCTGTGTTTCTTTTTCAACAAAGTATTTACCTTGTAACAGGTCAAAGAGATTCTCTAAGCCAAGTGTCAGACTTCTAGGACTTGACACAGAGGTAGTAAGATCCACATTCCTCGAAGTAAAAAAGGCAAGAGGTTCAGTTTTTCCTATGCTTGTAAACACTTCCCCTAAATCAGCCCAGGAGTGACTTGAAGGACTAAGAGGAAACTCACCTTCATTTATGCTCAGCATAAGAGTAGGCAGGAAGGCAAGAGATACTGCTGCTGAATCGGAGACATGACCCTCCATGTTGCTCTTAGAGAAGTCTGAATGGTGGCTTGAGGGGATCTCAACAAAGAACGTAGTAGCCACCATGCTGTCTTCACAATTCACTGAAGCAAGAGGTGTGCTTATACTTGGAACAATAATCATGGAGTCTATTTCAGCTCTAGTCTTAACTGGGGTTACAGAAAGCCACCTGGTTTTTAGCATGGCTTCTGGGGTCAAGGCCAAAGTGGTCTCCAAAGAGTGCCCAGTTGCCACTTGCTCATTGTGGTAGCCTGAGGGAATGGGTGCTGGAATATTTTGGAGAACCCACTCAGGAACAATTCCAGACATAGCCACTTGAGGAAAAGTTGGGGTCATCTCAGCATCAAATAGACTCTCCTGGTAAGTGGTAAAGGGGAGAGAACTCTCTTGACCAAGCACAAACTTAAAATCTGTTTCAGTAAGACTCACTGGATGCCTACCGGGGCCCTCTTCAGAGGTCACACTGCTGACCAAGCTTTCTGTCTTTTCCGGCCCTGGAAGCAGTCTGGATGTCTGGAGAAGCAACCCTGGTTCACCCTCAGCTCTGACCACTGTGGACCTAATGGAAATGATTGAAGATGGTTCCGGGACTAATCCTATTCCATCAGGAGATGCCCCTATCTGGGTGAACCCTACTTCACTGAGGATTTCTTGAGAGTTCAACCAAATCATCCCACCAGGAGTTTGTATGGTTTCAAGAGAAATGACGATTCCTGAGTGTGGGTCAGCCAGTAAGTCACCAACTTTAAAAGACTGAAGAGAAAAATCCACAGCCGTATGAACTATTGGAACCACAGGGATCAGGTGCAGGGAACCTTCGAGGGGCAACTGAGTTTCACTGGCCAGGGAGATACCAGACATGTGATTCCCTATAGAATCGGTGGGTAAAGGCACTGCTTCATGAGCCAGGACTTCAGTCTGCAGAAAGGGTTGCTGTTCCCTTCCAGGCAGACTGCTCCATATCTGGGAGGGGCTGATCTGGATCTTGTCATTTTTAGAGCGGTCAGTCTTTTCGAGGAATTCTGAACCTGAGAGAATAATAAAAACTGAATGGCTTGTGGGGGTTGGCTTAATGTTTATTGGCACATCCTCTGAAGTAGGAATTAAGTAGTCGGTTTGATTATCTGCTCTTAGTGGTTTGATATTTATGGACCAATCTTCCATTATACTTGATTGCTCAGGACCCACAAAGTAAAGGGTATTTCCATAAAGGATTTCTATGTCAACTGCTGAGCCATCCATAGTAGAACCAGGGGAAAGAATACTCTTTTCCTCTTTAATTTCCAACCATCTAGTATCAAAGGCTGCAGTTTTCCCTAGAGCTTTGGAAAAGCTCATCTCACCTACACCTAGTGTTTTTGTAACCATGATGCCAAAAGCATGGGATTGAATAGATAGCCTCTCAGAGTAGGACAAAGAGGTCTCAGAAAACGTAACCTTCTCTCTTCTCCATGTGGAAGATCTCTCTGGTTGAAGAGCTTTTGATGGCATTAGTTCAGGAGAAGTCATCTCTACACCCCCTTGAGACATCACAATAGGTGTTTCAACCTTTAGTCCAGTACTGCTGTAGGGAAGCTTGTTGCAAGGCTTTTGAAAAGGCATTTGACAGGTTGGATCCTCTCTCTCTGAATCTTTTGCCCTGGGATCTCTGAAGATATAATATTTCCCTCTAAAGTGTTTGTATCGATGGTTCCGGGCATAGTTCTTCAACAGCAATGCCACATTCACAGCCAACGCCTGAGTTGCATAGACATGCACTCTCTTGTTCCAGCAAGCATAGGCTATGGTGCTTTCTACAACAGAGGCAACTCCTTGAAATATAATTTTATCTGGGTTTTCTTCACAGTCCTTGCTTCCCCTAAACCCTTGGACATAAATGACAATGTGGTTTCTGGGGCCTGCCCAGATGGTCCAGCTACACCAGATGTTCTTAAAATGGCGGTTCCGAATGACTGGGATGGAAAACTCTCCCATTTTGTTCTTCAAGATGGCATGACAGCGTCTCACAGGGACATAAATTTCAGTCCAAGATAATCTCCTCTCTGCAAGGAGAAGAGGTAGGATAGAATTAATGAGAAGAAACAATTAGATGTTAATGTTCCAAATGAACAAGCTCTTGCACTGGAAGGCAGTTTGGTACACCGTAAAGAGCCCTGAAATTACAGTCAAAGCACCTGGGTAAAAAAATCCCACTTCTGGAACTTATCACCTGTCACCATTTCTCTCAGCCTCAGTTTCTTCATCCATAAAATAAGGGTCCTGGACTAGATGACCTTGAAGGGCCCTTTAAGCTCTAAATCTACAAGCCTATGATCATTTTATGTGTGGCCCAGCAGAGAAATAAGAAAGTGAGAAGACAAAGGAGTGGCAGAATAAGTGAACATTGAATGAAACCCTTACCAAATGACCAAAAGAGCATCTCTAAACCCATACATACATAAGACTCTACAACATCCTCAGTAAGTGGTCATCAAACCTTGCTTGAGGACCTACCATGGCCAGAGATTTATTACCTCCCAATGTAGTCCATTGTTAGAAGTTTTCCTTATATGAGACCTAAACCTATCTCTCTGTGACACATTAATTGCTCCTGGTCTTGTCTTTTGGAGCCAAACAGAACGAGTCTAATCTCTTCCACATGAAGACCTTTTGAATACTAGAAGGAAAATTGTTATCATGTCCTCTCCTCCTTGTGAGCCAAGTTTTCTCCTCCCCAGTTTATAAAGGTCCTTCCTAAAACATGGTTTCCTGAAGTAAAGAAGCAGTTATCCTTTGTGGGGGCCTCTCATTGTTTTAATCTTTTGGAGACTGTGGTATTCAATTATTTATTGCCATATATCACTGAAAGAATATTTTTTTTAGTGAGCCTTTATTTCAGAGAGAAGCGTTAGGTCAATTAAAATCACTGGACCATTTCCCAAAGGCAATGTAGACTCACATCATTTTACTATCTAAAACTCAAGAAAGACAAAATCCATGGGAGGAGCAGGCAATAAAATCCATGATCTCATATGTCTACAAATGCATGATGTATGGATAACAAGCAGGAGAATCAGGGCTCCAATTTTCAGTCCTTTCTGTTCATTGTGAAGCCCCAAAGTTAGATTTGATACAGATTTGTATTCATTTTCCTTTTGTAGGACAAAAGTTTTAAGATAGCTGTGTGGATCATATCACCTATGGCAGAGGTTTATCATCAGTTTGTTGAATTTGGATTGAATTTGTAAGCTACCATATGCTAATACAAAAAGAAGACAGTTTAGTTTGTGTTTCAAACTTA